CTTGTGTAGTGTATTCTAACTTTATTGGTTTAGTGCATGTTAACTATATTTTGCAGTGGATGCTAACTTTGCTTGTGTAGTGTATTCTAACTTTATTGGTTTAGTGCATGTTAACTATATTTTGCAGTGGATGCTAACTTTGGAGGAGCATGTAGAATGTGTAAAGATAAAGAAATAGAGGATAATTTCAAACTAAAAGTTTTTTTTTAAAATCTAATAAAAAATGGACTTTTAGCTAAGCCTTTTGAAGATCTTTAATCCTCCAAGATCTCTATAATTGTCACCCTCATCCAGGCAGTTGATGCCATTTAACGATTATTTCATTTCATCAAATTTGTAATTATTTAGCAAAAATATACACAAAATTGTGAACATGACACTATTTGTTTACAGTACTTTCAAAAGCTTGCAAAAATAAATAAAAACAAATAAACACAAAATCATGTTTTTTATATAATATTCATATGAACTTTGGAGTATTTTTTGTTTTTCATGCTAGAACTTAATCTAAATTATCATTAATTTTTCACAAAAATAAGTCGTCTTATTTTCTTGCTGCAAAATTTTAAGTAAATAAATACACACCTTTATATTTGGAATCAGCATTTTGAAGACCATTCGATGGAAGTTTTATCTTTAAGTAGCCCAGATTAACAACATGAATGTTTGTACTTGCAAGTTCTGCCCTAAGAACCTCAAAAAAGGCTTGTTTGGCATGCTCTGAAGCTGCATCTTGGGAAAACAAAATCACATGCATATATATATATATATATATCTGTCACAGATAGTGTTCAATGTAAAAAACAAATATGATTTATGTGCACAGTATGTTTATGTATTTTATAATAGCTTCACAAATGAAGCAAAGTCATTGTTTTTCAAGGTTGAAGGAAGTGAATTTTAGCAGCCACAGGTCAATAATAAAAAATAAATAACAAACCCTTAAAAACTGGAACATTTCCATTAAAATTATTCAGCACCATATTATGAATAACAAGGTATTTTTTTCAAAACTAAAATGTTTTTATGGTACAATAGTTTACGAATTGTAAATTTAGCGTGAAATTTAAAACGGTGATTCACAAAATGTAGAAAGTTAACAAAAGTTATAGTTATGTAACCACAAGAAAAATGTGAACTTCCAGCAAGAATCAAATTATGACAGATGTACAGTTTTTAGCTGGTGATGCTACAAAACATAGCTGAAAAAATTGCACTTTAAGAACATAACATCTTATAAAAAACATTAAAACATGTTCTTATGTTGTGTCTTTTACTTTTTTTCTTATAAACAACTGTACAAGTATGGAAACAGCAAAATCTGGGCAAGCTATCAGAAGCTTTTAAAATATCCTAATTTGTTGTACATTTAAAATTTTGTCTACAAATGTGAAATGACTAGTTATTAAAATTAAACAGCTGTTTAATTTCAGAAATATTGTGTTAAAAGGTAAGCATTCACTGGTTGTTTTTCATTGCACAAGTCCATACTCATTTTGCTACTTTAGCAGTAGTGGAGATTGAAACAGAATAACAAAAGTAGCTGACAGAATCAACATATGATTGAACAAGTGGCTTAAACCAGTTTACAATGTTTTACTTCCAGTTACAAAACTACCTCCTCATAGGCTGAAATTTTGAGTAGAGAAATAATGGATAATATTAAGTTTAAAGTTAAGAATAACAAGAACACCATACATTGTTAGCTTTCATTCAAAGTAGCAACTGTTGTCTATAATAAATGTTTGAATTTTAGGAAGAATTCCAGAAAACATCTACAAAATTGATTCTAACATTTAAAGAGCATTTGAACCACGTAAAATTCAAATAACAAACTAAAGATGTATAATAGGTAAGATAAGTGACCCTTGAAAAGGATTTATGAGACAAAATATCTATGAATAGTAAAATGATTTGGTTTGTTTCGAATTTTGCACAAAGCTACATGAAGATAAATCCCTAATTTAGCAGTGACAGACTAGAGGGAAAGCAGACAGTCAACACCACTCACCAACAACTTTTGGGATAATCTTTGACCAACAAATAGTGAGATTAACCATCACATTATAATGCTCCCATGGCTGAAAGGGCAAGCATGTTCAGTGGGATGTGGATTCTAACCCACGACCCACTGATTGCAAGATGAGCACCCTAACCACCAGGTCATGAAAAGAAAGACATATAATCTCTAGAAGGTCAAGGTGAAGGCTTGATTTTAAGTTTCATTAGTGCAAGTTAATCTGAAAACATAATTACATTATCTGGTGTATTCCAAAATGATCTCTTTCAAGTATCTGCAGGTTCAGTACTATTTCTATGTAGCATATGTATACAAGGATGGCATTTGTTTATACCTGTATATAATAACTCTAGGTTTAATACAGTTTCTGTGTAACATATGTGTACTGGGATGGTACCTGTGAATAGCAATATATAATAACACAGGTTCAATACAGTTTCTTTGTAGAGAAGATAGGCCTCAGAAAAGTTCTATTTTCAAACAGTATAACTCAAAATAAATATGCAAGTTTTCTGAATAGTGATATTTGAAGAAAAATTAAAACAGTTAGTCTATTTTTAAGATTTTAACACAAGATATAACTTACTACCAAAACCTGTAGAGTTTGAAAACAATAAAAAATTAAAAAATGGTGCCTGATTGCTCATTAATGTGCTTTACTCCTTATATGATATTATCTTTAACATCAATTACTTTAGTTGTAAGTACTGAGATGCTGCTCAGACTTATGAATTGTAAACAGTTATTTAATAAATACAATATTTTGTGAGAACTGCATGGCCATAAACCAATAAATACATGAATACTTACAAGAAGAGGAAAATGAACTTGCATTACTAACAGAAACAATGTGTCCGTTTCCAGCTTTTATCATGGAAGGTAATATTGCTAGAAGAATAGAAAGAAAAATTATGTATATAATAGAGGTATATTTAACATACACAAAATTATTACTTTTCTTTAATATTTTTCCTGTGAATGTGGTGCCATATAAAGACAGGACTCCAAGCTAATACTGTATATATGAAGTATTCATGACAGAATTACTAAGCTATCAACAGACATACCATTACTGTAAAAATATAACTAGAATTTTTCACCCATATGTATCTAGAAGAATACTATTTTCATGTGTTAGTATTAAAATCAGCATATTCCAATACATACAGATATTTATGGTAATGACACTTTCATACAGATGTACTTACAGTAACACTACTTCCATTAAGATTAGCAATTCATGTGTTTGGAGGAAAATGAGGTTTCACAATAAAAAGGATAAATATACTTAAGATAAACAACACTGTGTCCACTTCTGCTATAAATAAACAATGTTTTTTAACTCAAGTATGTTATCCTTTTTATTGTGAAGTTACATACAGATGTTCAGACAGCAACAATACTTCCATACACACGAATTAAGTGTTTTATGTTTTTTATTTCATGTGATGATTGTGTTGTTCAATGACTAGAACTTTGTACATAAACGAAAGGAAGAAAACAACAATTTTTGGCACAATGAAACATAAAGCTTTAGCATCACTAGTTATCTTTATGTAAAAAATATAGCTTTATGTTTCTTTGTGTCAAAAACTGTCACTTTCATCATTTTATTTATCTACATACCTATAGTATGATGTGCCTTAAAAAGATATTATGACAAGAATTTTCTTGAGTTGCATAAAACATGAGTTATGGTACAGGAGATTACTGATTGATTTTGTGAGTATCTTACAGTGGTTGATTTGATTATTGACAGTTTGTTTGTTATGGATTTTGTGCAAAGCTACATGAGGGCTATCTGTGCTAGCCATCCCTAATTTTGCAGTGTAAGACTAGAGGGAAAGCAGCTAGTCATCACCAGCCACTGCCGGTTATTCGCCTACTCTTTTACCAATGAATAGTGGAATTGACTGTCACATTATAATGCCCCCACGGCTGAAAGGGTGAGCATGTTTGGTAGGACCGGGATTCGAACCCGCAAATTGCGAGTCAAGCGCCCTAACCACCTGGCCATGCCGGGCCTGATTATTGAGAGAGTGAATTTGTTAGTCTGTCAGTTACTTCACTTTTGTAAATACTTAGTTTGTGTTTCAATGAAGTATTAGATATATGAAAAGTACCACAGATACAAGAACATTAGCAAATGAAATTGTACTAGCATCTACTGTGAAGTTAGGCTTATCACTTAGTGTTTGTTAAGCCAATTTACAGAATTTGAGGTACAAAAAATAAAATACTTTTATTATTATTATTAATAAGAGGACTGGACTTTGTATTATATTTTACCAAATAATCCAAAAGAAACCATTAAAACAATAGCGAACATACTTTCATGTGTAAGAAGTAATAGCAGCATTACTTCCATACATACGTATCTATAGTAACACTCTTTAACGTAACACTGAAGAACAGAGGCTTGTTGGTCACATGAAGACTGTCTCATCCACTTAAAAAAAGTCAAATCCAGCCCTGACCATTTAAATAATTATATATTTGTGTTCTACCATTCTCACCATTAATTTTGTTTGTTTTGAATTTCGCGCAAAGCTACACGAGGGCTATCTGCGCTAGAAGAACAGAGGCTTGTTGGTCACATGAAGACTGTCTCATCCACTTAAAAAAAGTCAAATCCAGCCCTGACCATTTAAATAATTATATATTTGTGTTCTACCATTCTCACCATTAATTTTGTTTGTTTTGAATTTCGCGCAAAGCTACACGAGGGCTATCTGCGCTAGCCGTCCCTGATTTAGCAGTGTAAGACTAGAGGGAAGGCAGCTAGTCATCACCACCCACTGCCAACTCTTGGGCTACTTTTTTACCAACAAATAGTGGGATTGACCGTCACATTATAACGCCCCCATGGCTGAAAGGGCGAGCATGTTTGGTGGAACGAGGATGCAAACCCGCGACCCGCAGATTGCGAGTCGAGCGTCCTAACCACCTGGCCATGCAGGGCACCACCATTAAGTACAAAGATAAGATGATTCATCAATACTATTCATTTCCTTAATAATCTTGAACACTTCATTTGACTAGATCCCCCTCTTTTGAACCCTTTCCAGCAGTTCAATATCTTTATTAAAGGTAAAGAGCACAAGACTGAACACAGTACTTCAAATGAGGTCTAACTAGTGACATATACAATAAAATAATAACAATATTTTATAAATAAAATAAAAAGTATTACTTGTCATACCACTAGCAACAGCACACTGCCTGGATGGCTTAAGAGACTGATTAACCAGAACACCAAGATACTTTTCTTCCGTACGATTGTTAATTTTTTTCCTTCACAATTATACTTATAATGTAAATTATGACAAATCACATGCACTAAGTTGCATTTATTATAATTAAAAACCATCCATCAGTTATTCAGACGAATCAACAAATAAACTAAATCCTTTAGTAAAGCAGAAGCATACTCCTCACAAACAGTGACACTCAAGGCCTAAATACCACCAGCAAATTAAAGAAACTTATTGACCATTCCTTTATCTGTGTCAAGGTTTCAACATTGGCTTTTGTTTTTCTTTTTGGTTCTTCCTATCTAGCTAGAGCTAGTAATAATCAAACTTGGGTCCCGTTCGTGTAAATATGTTAATAACTTAACAATTTTACATATCGTTAGACTGTTATTAGTCCATGTTTAGCAATTCCTAACAAACACAGTTAAATGAACTTTTTTAAAGCAAATAAAGAATAATGAATATTAACATGACAATTTTTGTTTATTAAAGCAATCTAACCCTAAGTAAAGTTGGTTAAGTTTGTAGCTTGTAATAAGTAAGCAATATATTATTAAGTTAAACCTACATTATTGTTTACTTCAACTATGTTAAACACAAGCAACAGGCATCACTGTGGCTAGTCATGTAACCAACAGCCACTAGGCTACACCCTCACATTCACAAGTTTTGTTCAAGCAGAATGCATGCGTACCATTTTATATAGTCTCGCCAATCAAAGTAGTACTAGCTACTGTGTCACAAAAGTTTAAAACTGAACAAACTTAAATTAGTAGAGAAATAATATGAAAAATCATAATTGCAATAATTTGATTACTTGGAATAATTAAAAATAGTAATAATTGGAAACATTTGATTATTTGAATGAATCAGGACACTAACCAATTAAGCAGAACATGAATTAACCGTAATACTGGAAAGACACTTTAACTTTTAGTTGGCTAAAACTGCCACTTCCAGACCTATGATATTCAGAGTTTGTAAACAAGGTCATAAGATTAACTCAACGTTATATTATTTATGAATAACGAGGTTTACATATGAAACAAAACTGATTCCCTCTTTTTGTATTAAATAAAATGAAGACTAAAAAAAACAACAGAAGATAATATTTTACAAACATGCTCAAGAACTGTTCAATACATAAATAAATACATTTGTTTGTTTATGACAAAGCTATCATCAAAGACAATCTGCCACTTTCTCTAATTTTGAACTGCCAGCTTCAGGGAAGGCAACCATCTGACAACACCCATCACTAACTCTTTTTGCTACTCTTTACCAATGAATAGTGGGATTTGCCATTGCATTATAATGCCTCTGTGGCTGATAGTTCCAGGCCCCAGGATGTGTGTATGTATAAGTATTGTTACGTCTCCGTTTGTTAGTTGATTTTTCCGTAACTTCGTTCCAACGAAACTTTAACGACACAAGTCTTTACTTAATAAAACTGGTTTATTCTTTCCGAATATAACTCTGCGATACACTTAATCTCAATACTCGCACTAAAACAACACTGTAACGAACGAACGTTAACTTCAACAATACCGTGTGACTGCAGTTCAATTACTCACTATCTACCCAGACACGTTACATTCCCCTCTTATATATATCCGCCTACCCTATATCTAGTAAGAACTAGAACATTCGCCAAAGTACAGGATAATTCAAGAAAGGAGAGAGCGTGAGAATCACATGATCTCGATGACGCAACAGTATCAACCAAATTTCATAAAATATACATTTGATGAGTGCAACATGCCCAAAGTAGTTAACAACCATCAGTTTGACATCAATGTCTATTGAAGTGTTGATAATTTCACCCTTGTAGTTCACTCCACTATTGTTTATCAGAATATCAATCTTTCCAAAAGCATGGAGAGCTTCCTCTGCTTTGGCAGGAATATCCTTTAAGTCATTCAAATCCAAGGAAAGGATGTAAGGTTCATAACTTGGCCATTTCTAAAACCAATATACAATTTGAGTAAAAAACTAATATAGAAATATATTAAAAATTAAATTTTCTTCAAAACATGTACTTAAACACAAATTAACCTCAATTTAGCTAAGTACTTTTACAAACATTTATTTACCATTTCATGAGATATATATTAACTTGAAGTTCAGAGAGATAAGCTTTAAATGTCACGGATACACTACTTCAATTAATAATTTATACACACAAACAACATACTAATAAAAATCTTCTTTTACAATACTCAGAATGTTATGTTTCAGTGCAAAAATTATAATTTCCTACCATTAATCTGATAATGAGTTTATACTTTTATTAATGCCAATAAATCAAATTATTAATTTTTTAAAACACAGTTCATCAGCCCTTACAAAAAATATATGTATTTAACCACAAGTCTCATTCCGACCGAGTTGTTACTTGCTACTTTGATTACCCCCATGAATATATAGTGAAGCTACGAAAAAGCTGGGTGAGATAAAGTTTCCCACAACTGAAAGAAAAAGCTAATAACTCACATGTATTATAGAGTCAAAGTGTTACAAATTAGTGAATTTACAATAATGTGTAGTTGGCTAAGCAGAAAATAGTACAAATTGCTTTTAATGCATGTTAATGCTTAACACTTTGTGTTAACTAAGATAAATGATTTATTAAGTCACCCGTTAACAGCAACCATTTATGCAATAAGCAGCTTCTTGAAAATATAAGAGTTCAAGCATGCAGTACTACAAGTTTTGTTATAGGTGTTATTTTATGTAATATAATACGCTGTATAAGTAGAAATCAGAAAAAAAAACAGTTGCAGTAAAAATTTAGGGTTGTTTGGTTGCAAGAAAAAGAGAAATCATAACAAAACATGCCACAGAGCTTACACACACCGTCTTTAAACTTATGAGGTCCTTTTTCACTCTCTCAAGCTTTTTTTTACGTCTTGATGCCAGGATCACTTTGCAGCCAGCTTTGAAACATGCATGAGCAAGAGCTAAAAACAAAAGTAGCTTTTATCAGTCAAAGAAAAAAAATGTAGTTGTGTAAGTACAAGTTATCTGTATCATTTTTGAGTTTTATGCAAAAACTCTTAATGAAAGTATTGATACTGATTCTAATTCCCATTAAAAATTATGTATTTTATGAAATTATTAATTATTACAGTCTAGCTGTATATAACTCCAGGTTACAATGTGGTATAATACTGATGAAAGTCCTTCATAACTAATAACACTAATTACTATTCATGTCAGAATCATCTTCATTTAAGTATGATGAAAATAAATCAAGTCATACTGAGTTAGTGATTAACAGCAGTTTATATTACATTAACTTTTATTAAAACTGGTAATAAGCACAAGGCTATGACTTAAGGACTAATGCAATTCTAAGTAAAAAAATTAATTAATAAACATATACAAAACAAAAATAGATGTGACATTATCAGCATACTACCATAAAATATTAAAACTCTGCACACAATTAAATCTGGTTTAAGTGATTTTTAAGAATATAATAATTTTAAAATAGTCATGAATGTAAATAATTTCATTAGCATAGAGACTAGGAAATTATTTGACAGAAATTAATATTATGTGCTTATCTAATAACATTCCAAGGTTAACCTCAGAAGACAAATTTGCAGATTTAAATTTATGTGTGTTACAATCACAAAAATAGAGGACACACACAGTGACAACAACATGCATATTTCAGCAGAGTGGGTAGTTACTATTCAGCTCATCATCACATGACTTCAGAAGGACATGCATATTTTAAAACTAATGAAATAAAAGATGCTACCAAGATGTAAACATCATTCTTATGTACAAACAGATACTCAAATCTACTGGCTTACATTATAGAGCTATGACTATTCTTAACTGTTTTCAAATATCTAAATTTCCTGTACTTTGTATAATATTAGCCAGATTTTGTAGCCTAACATTTTGCAGGCACCTGTTGATATACCTTTTGATTTTAGATATACAAGAGATTCAAAAATGTTTTTGAAAAGTGTAAAATGATAAATTAAAAATAAATATTGAATTAAAGTATTTTAGTATGAGTCCAACATAATCTTTTCTAAGAACTACAATGACAGTACTTTGCAATATTATGCACCAGAAGCATCACCCCGAGTAAATGCTAAAGAAAAAACATTTGAAATTCTTCAATCTTACCTTCTCCAAGACCAGAGCTTGCTCCAGTAACAAGCACAATTTTTCCAACTAAAGATTTATCTCGATGAACTTTATGCCTGAAATTAGAGCTGTACAACTGGTATACCAGCCAAGGAAAGATAAATGGTAAGCATAAACCTCCTGCAATCAGTCGAATCCAGTATTTCAAACTGGAAAACATTGTACTCTATCGAATAAGATATGATCAATTCCCGATTAATTCCATACATGCACAATGCTACAAGTACAAGTAAGCCTATCGTAAGTTAATCAAACACTGAAAATTATATTAGGCTAAATAAATCAACCTAGAAATTTGTAGACACTTTATATTTTACAATGGTCAGTAGGATAAAACCAACTTATTAATAAAAACAGGTTCTAAAGTTTTACTTAACATTGCCTTTAGGTCACAAACAACTTAATAATGAAAGGAGATTAATTAAACCAAGAGGTTTTAAAAACATGATCATGGGTGCCCGTAGGAAGGGGCAAGAGGGTCATTTGTCTTCCCTTACATTTTACAAAAACTTGCATGTTAGGATGTAAACTTAACATCGTAGTTAAACTAAATACTTTTAGTAATTTTTATTAAAACTATAAATTTGTGTTTGTGTCTAAGCACACATGTTATTTTAGTCTGTTGACAGGGGCAAGAGGGGCATTTGTCTTCCCTTACATTTTACAAAAACTTGCACATGTTAGGATGTAAACTTAACATCGTAGTTAAACTAAATATTTTTAGTAATTTTTATTAAAACTATAAATTTGTGTTTGTGTCTAAGCACACGTTATTTTAGTCCGTTGATTTACACTGTAAAAGCTGATCCCTTATATATATGTTTTGCCCCCCCCTTGGAAATATTTCTGTAGGCACCTATGATCATGAGGTAAGCTATGGTGAGAGGACAGGTGACAAAAAACGGAAAGAGTTCCATATGGCACCCCCACCCAAAAATTGTAGAATTGCCTGGATAAAAAAGATTCTGAAAAGGGTTTATGTTTATCTGACCATTAGCCAATACCAAACATTGTCTATATATACCATTATCCATTGAGTGGGGGTGCCATATGTAACTCTTACCCAAAAAACACCTAATGTGCCTAATACCACAAGTTATTTCATA